GCAGTATTAAAATCAACTAAGAGTCCCTCATTCAGCACTTGCTCAAATTTCTCTGCTGACGCATTTGTTGTAGGGAGATGCCATGTCTGTGCAGGATAGGTCCTTCCTGTAGCCCTGGACACCCAAGTGTGGCAGGAGCCTTAGGAACATGGAAAGGGAGAGAATCTCCTGAGCACAGGGAGGGAGGGGCGGCTCCACATCTTCCTCTCTAAGGCCACGCCTCCTTCTCCCCCAGGTGGTCAGGACAAGCCCTTCCTGTCTGCCTGGCCCAGCGCTGTGGTGCCTCGAGGAGGACACGTGACTCTTCGGTGTCACTTGGTTGGTGGGTTTAACAACTTCACCCTGTACAAAGAAGACAGATTCCACGTTCCCATCCTCCAGGGCGTTATATTCCAGGAGAGCTTCCTCATGGGCCCCGTGACTGCAGCACATGCAGGGACCTATAGATGTTGGGTTTCTCACCCACACTCACCCACTGGGTGGACAGCACCCAGCAACCCACTGGTGATCACAGTCACAGGTCAGAGGGCTCCTCTCTGGGCTTCTCACTGTCCCACCTCCTGAATCCCAGAGCTTCTGGTGGGGTGTCCATCAGGGTCCGATCACCCAGGCCCTGACTGTATTTGGGGTAAAGGGGATTGAATACAGGGAAGTGGGTTCTGTGGTAGGAAGAATAACTGTCCCCAGTGATGGCCACATTCTCATCCCTGGAGCCTGTGACTATTTCTGTTACAGGGCAGGGGACTGAAGGGGAAGATGGAGCTCAGGTTGTTGATGAGTTGACCTTGAGATGGGGAGGCTGCCTGGACTGTCCAGCTGGGCTCAGTGTCATCACAAGTGTCCACATGAGAGGAGGAGGAAGAGGGGAGTGGGGATTAGAGCAGTGTAGTGGGAGGGAGACTCCACCAGCCACTGCGGGCTCTGAAGGTGGAGCATGGCCGGGAGCCATGAATGCAGGTGGCCTCAAGGGGCTGGAGAAGTCAAGGGAAATGATTCTCCCCTGAGTCTCCAGAGGGAACGCAGTCCTCCAGATGCCTTGATTTTAGCCCAGGAGAACTGGGTCCGATTTCTGTCTCCAGAAGTGGAAGGTTTCAGTGTGTTCTCTCCTGCTGCCATATTGTGATAATTTTCTACAGCAGCAACAGGAGACAACACAGGAACCCAAGGCAAGGACAAGTTAAGAAACGACACCAGGAGAAGGGTGGCTACCCCGAGATCAGCAAGGGGGGGTGATGCTGAGGCCACCACCAGGCTTCATCCACATAGGGAGGGGTCGATGCTCCTGGAACCAGCACCAAGGGCCGCCCTGTGGAAGCTGGGACCATGGAGAAGCACAGACATGGCAGGAGAGGCTCCCAGTTCCCACCAGGAACAGGGTGTGTGGACACGGGTGCCCACCTTACTCATCAGTTCATACCTCCTGCCAGGGATTCCAATTTGTCCAAAACGGATTGAAACAGGCTGTTCAGATCCTGGACATGCAGCCTGTCGTGGTTCCTCTTCTACCCTCATGTGGACAGTAAGAAAGAGATTAGTGGGAAACAGAAACAGCAGCCCAAGGGATGAGGCTGAGCCCAGTGGGAAGGAGTCAGGGGCTACCAGAGACAGAGACAGAGAAGAGGGAGGGAGACAGATGGAGGGATCTGCACCAGGGGTGATGGGCACAGAAAAGAGCACAGAGATGCAGAGAGGGAGGAGAGAGTCAGACACTGAGGAGGGGAAGCCTCACTCATTCCAGGTCCCAAGGATGCGATGAGAAAGAGAGACGCCTTCTAAACTCACAATCTCTCTTCCTAGGATTCTACAGAAAACCTTCCCTCCATGCCCTCCCAGGTCCCCTGGTGAAATCAGGAGAGACGGTCATCCTGCAATGCTGGTCAGATACCGTGTTTGACCACTTCCTTCTGCACAGAAAGAGGATCAATGAGGACCTCTTGCGCCTCATTGGAGAGCCCCATGATGGGGGCTCCCAGGCCAACTTCTCCATAGATCCCACGATGCCTGGCTTTCCAGGGACCTACAGATGCTACGGTTCTGTCACTCACTCCCCCTATGAGTGGTCGGCTCCCAGTGACCCCCTGGACGTTGTGATCACAGGTAAGAGTGTCCAGACATTCTTCTTATTGTCACTGGGACAGAGTGAGTGATCCAGGACTTGGAAGTCCCACGTGCTCATGAAGAATATGAGCGTGGGGTTCTTATGGAGAGAGACTGACTTGGTGAGGTGTGTACCAGCAGAGACAGAGAAACAGGAGACACAAGTACAGACCACACGTCATAACAGAGGACAGACACGGGGCCATACAGGGAGTGAGAAAACAGAGAAAGAGGTAAAGGGGACACACAGACAGACAGACATGTCCCAGAGAGAGGTGTCCTTCCATGCTGGC